TGAATAAAATGTGCTGGTAACACATGTCTGTTGGCTGTAGAGAATTGCAGAAGGTCGTCGTCAATCTCAGCTAATGGATAGCAAAGTAGCAGATGAAATTGTACAGTGTTTGGGGGGTAACCCTATTTAGGAATGCAAAACTGTTTGCTATTACTCAATAAAGAGAGGAGTGCCATGAAAATTCTCAGAGGCCTGGAGCACCTCTCCTACGAAGAAAGGCTGACAGAATTGGGGTTCTTCAGTCTGGAGAAGAGAAGGCTCTGGGAGAGTTTACTGTGGCCTTTCGATATGTAAAGGAGGCTTATAAGAAGGATGGAGAGGGAATTTTTGTCAAGTCCTGTAGTGACAGGACAAGGGAAAATGATCTTAAACTGAAAGAGGGTAGATTTAGGTTGGACAGAAGGAAGAAAGTTTTTTCAATGAGGGTGGTGAGATGCTGGCAGAGTTTACCCAGAGAAGCTGTGGACGCCCTGCCATTGGAAATGTTCTGTATCATGTTGAATGGGGCTTTGAGCAACTTGAGCCAGTGAAAGATTCCTTGCCCATTGCAAGGTCATTGGAACTAAGTGGTCTTTAAAGGTCACTTCCAACCCAAATCATTCTATGATTCCCTGATTTTGGAGTCGCTGAGCTGAGCATCCTTGAGCTCAGTGTGCGGGAATGATCTGAAAGACTAAAAGAAAGGTAGGATTTATCAAAATGGGAATTTATAACAAAGCAGAAAATATTACCACACCATATGAGTTCATGGCGTGTCCATCTCCTGAATGTTGTGGTCTGTCCACCTGTGTATATAGATTCAGAGAAAAGTAAAAGATGACCTGGGCACATGTCCCAGTTTCATCTGGAATAGAGTTAATTTTCTTCTTGGCAGCAGGCACAGTGCTGTGTTTTGGTTTTAATATGGGAATAATGCTGATAACACACCAATGTTTTAGTTGTTACTAAGTAGTGTTTACTGACCAACAACTTTTCAGTCTCTCATGCTCTCCCAATGAGGAGAGGCACAGGAAGTTGGGAGGGAGCACAGCCAGGATGGCTGACCCAAGTGGGACAAAGGGATATTCCATATTATAGAGCATCATGGTCAATATATAAAGGGGGGGGGGGGGGGAAGTTAGAATCATAGAATCAAATAGATTGGAAAAGACCTTTAAGATCATCAAACCCAACTGTTACCCCAGGACTGCCAAGTCCACAACCAAACCATGTCACTAAGTGCCTCACCTACACAGTTTTCGAACACTTACAGGGACAGTAACTCTACCACTTCCCTGGGCAACCTGTTCCAATGCCTGAGCACCCTCTCAGTGAAGAAATTTTTCCTAGTATCCAATCTAAACCTCCCCTGTTGCAGTTTGAGTCTGTTTCCTCTTTTCTTGTCAGTTGTTATGCGGGAGAAGAGACCAGCCACCTCCAAGCTCAATCCTCCTTTCAGATAGTTGCAGAGAGTGATAGGGTCCCCCCTGAGCCTTCTGTTCTCCAGACCAAACACCCCCAGTTCCTTCAGCCGTTCCTCATCACACTTGTGCTCCAGACCCTTCACCACCTTCTTTGCTCTTCTCTGGACCCTCTCCAGCACCCAAATGTCTCTCTTGCAGTGAGGGGCCCAGAACTGAACACAGGATTCGAGGTGTTGCCTCACCAGTGCCAGTACAGGGGAATGATCACTGCCCTGACTCTGCTGGTCACACTGTTTCTGATACAGGCCAGGATGCCATTGGCCTTCTTGGCTGCCTGGGCACACTGCTGGGGTAAGGGCCATGAGGGGCTGATCACTGCTCAGGGATGAGATGGACTTCAGTCAGTGGGTGGTGAACAACTGTATTGTGCATCACTTGGCTTTTTATCTTGATTTTTATTTCTCTCTTTATTCTTACTCTTATTTTCCTATTCTTATTAACTTTATTTCAAATATTAAATTGCTCTTATCTCAACCAACAGGTTTTACCTTTTCCAATTCTCCTCCCCATCCCATGGGGATGGGGTAGGGGAATGAGTGAGCAACTGTGTGGTACTTAGTTGCAGTTTGGGATTAAACCACAATGGCATAGGATACTACTGCACAGAGCCTAAATAGATTTGGATTCAGCCTGCTAAAACAATCATCGAAAGGGGCTGTGTAAGAAGATGGACTAAGGACTTTGACAGTGAGGGAACTATTGAGGGTCTCTGATCAGAAGGTTCCCCCCTCTCCCCCTGGTAAAATGAACCTCAACGTAGGGCAACATAATGTCCTTCATTTCTTTCTCTTGCTTTTTACCCTCCATCTCATACACCATGACAGTTCACAGGGTACCAGCTCAGCTGCAGACTGCAGGAGCAAGGGGAAGCCAAAGGCTATCTAACTGATACTGGAGGGCAAAACCTTGAGAAACAATTCCCCTCTCTGAATTTGTCAATGCGTTGGCAGCCACAATGTGTGCTACTGAGTGTTGTGCCAGATACCTGCTCTGCCTGTGCCAGCTATAGCTATGGGAAAATGCAAAGAGTTAAATAATTTATATCCCTGACACTCTAAGTAGCATTGAGAGCCTGAAGATTGGTAAATGATAGACAGAGCACCTCTTAGCTCAGAAAGCATTTCCTATTTGTAAATGTCATAGAAAACACCTCACTCTTCAGAAACCATTTCCTGCCTATTCTGAGTTGAATGGTAGGAGATCAGGACAGGGTTGAAGACTGACTGACAGCAAGTTGCATGGGTGATCTGGTATCTATGAAAGTTCCTTATAATACTGGCATTTTTCTTTATTTTATTAGTATAGCAATATGCCATGGTGCAAATTCAATACAGCCTGGCTGTAACTAGCTCAGCAACTTCCTTACAGCTTGTTGTGTGTTTGCTTCCCAATTTGTCCTCTGGAGCACATCACATTTGCTTTCATGACACAGCTCCCAGGCTGGGAACAGACCCATCTTCCTTCAGCTTGTCCCCCCATTCCCCTTGCTTCCATGGGACTAGCAAACCAGCCCAGCACCACTTCATTCCTGCACACCTCAGTGTGCTTGCCTGCATTAATTTATGTCTATTTAACCTGCTCACTGTTTTGATGACAGTTGATGTGTGAGTGAGGTGGAATTTACCCTATCAGCCCACCTATTTTGCCGATCCAATGTTCTCTTACATGTGTCCTTATCCAGCTGCAGTAGAGCGGGGCTCTGTCCTCTTAAGTCATGGCACACTTCAGTGCTTTTCAATAAAATAAGGAACTGTATTTTTCAGAGTTATATAAATAGGGACCATGTTCCTATCACCTGCCATAGTGGTAACAAATAACATCTGCGGTTCATCTGATCACTGTTATAAGAAAATTCTCCAGAGAGCAGAAAAAGTATTTTTACAAAAGGCAAGTTGTTATTAGTTACTACTGCAAAGAATAGTCCTAACTTCTGAAATTTTATAGCAAGATATCAAAGAACTAAATCCTCCTGCTACAGGACATAATCCATGCTGTAACTAATAGGGCTTAAATAATATTTTTTTCTGGTTTCATTTTAATTCAGATACTCCAGCACTGAGCCCTTATCTAAGGAAAGAGGCTGAGTGGCATGGACCACCAGTTTGCCCCTTGAATGGTCATTCTGACCATTCTGTGAATTTATTTGTGTTTACAAAGAACAGTAGTTCAACACACACTAAGCACGGGCACCACACACAAATACAGAAAAGCACAGTGTGTACAAATTAGAGGAATGCTTGCCCTTTTTATGTTATATGGAGAATGCACTGAAAATGCTTGCACTTAGCAGTGTCCAAAATTGGAAAAACTGTAGAGTTTTCTAGTGGATTGATGAAAATGTGACTGTAGACATACAAGGTATGATTCATCTAATCTAAATGAAGACATCCACATCTGAGTTGCTTTAGGCTTCCTTTTTAGTTGAAAGATAGGTATTTTTAGGGTGGAATTCACATGCCCTGTGCTAGACATCTATATCTGATCAGCTGAATGTATCCCAGAGCCACACGTGATGCTGCTGAACCTCACCAGGTCTTAGAGGATGCAGAACTGTCCTCTTGTTGTGAGAGGGCTCCCACTATTTCTTGCTGTGGAGCAGAAGATACAGCTATTTTAAGTCATAAAAATCTTAGACTGTTTTTGCTCAGCCTGTGAGCCAGGACCAAGAGGAAGGCCAGGAGACAATTCAGAGACTCAGGCAGGCAGAAGTGTTAGATATCATCTCCTTTCTTTCCCCTCAGAACAGTAATGGATTACAGTTACCACTTGAAATAATGTGTATTAGCCAGGGAAGCAGCTAATTACCTTTCATTGCAGGCAACACTCAGCAAAAGAGTGATTTTTCCTACTTCTGAATAAGTGAGATGCCAGTGCTGGGGAGGGGGGAGAGAGGGAGGGGGGCAGGAAATTCCTGGTGCCGTGAGACTGCTCTGGACCCAGGGTGCTGTCACCGTGGGAATGAAACAGCGACATTCCTATGCCTAGTTTGAGCCTCTGGGTTTTGCTAGTGCAAAAAAAGAGATTTATCCAGTGAATCATTCAGGGCACCTATTTTAGGCTGTAACTCTGAACTGTCCTGTGGAGAAACTCCTCTTATTTACAGTGTACACAGAGTGTCTATTGACTCCTAAACAGGACCTATACAGGACCCATTATACACACCAACAAAGGCAGAAAAGATCTGCCCGTAAGAACCATCTCTAAGCAAATTATGAGAAATGGGGACCAACCGACTTACATAAACCAGGAAAATTTTTTTTTAAGTTGAGATAATTTTTTCTTTTTAGATGTTAAGATGATGATCCGTATGGGAAATAAACACATCTTTGCAACAACTTGAACTCAGTAGTCCTATCACTAATATATATTCTCCTCCATGTCCCGCTGTTGATTTCCATTGCATAATTACTATGTTACAGCACTTAGGCACGCAAAATATTGCAGGCAGAGAATACAGTTTTAGATTGCAGTGTATATGTCACATCCTCTGAAAGGGCAGAAATCTGCAATTACATGCTGAAATATTGCCTCACTTACCAACTGATATGGTCCAAACAGCAATTATTTTTGCAAAAGCCTTAGTTCTTGAGTTAAACCGGCTGTGATGGATGGGGTTTCGAATGGCAATATAGCGATCCAGTGAGATGGCACAGAGGTGCATGATGGAGGCAGTGGAGAAAAGTACGTCCAAGTAGATCCAGACAGCACAGAGCTTTGTAGGCAGAGGCCATGTGTATCCTGCACAAGAGAAAGTTGACATGAGCTAAGGATGTGGCATACATCTTTCGTTGTGACACATATGTCTCTTTGCATGTATCCTTCTAGGAGGAGAAAGTAGTAAGTGATCCATTCAATAGAACCTGCCTGGCACTGTTTTAAGAAGCCTTTTTTATTTGCTTGCAACCTTCTAAATCTGTAGCTTTTAGGACTCTCCTCCTTTCCCAGGCCACAGGCAGTGTAAGTTTGTTTCTTTTTAATTCTATTTGCATAACACTAGTGCTTGATGTTCTAGTTAACCATCTCTGGCAGCAAATCTATGGAAAGAGAAGCAATTTTGCCATTGTAAACCTGTAAATTCTGTAAGTTCTCAATTTTGTTTTTAGGACTTTTTATCTATGTAATTACTGCATTATTAACACCTGCTGATATGTGCAGCTGCCTAAATTCTGAACCTGAAACTTTAGATTTAGTGGCAGCTGAAGAAAGAAATGTATTTTGTTGTATACCAGTGATATTTATCTTGACTGTTTTTAGGCAACTGCCACGTACTTAAATAAGGATATGCTCTCTATCAATGAATATTGATAGACTCCTTCAGAGAGAGCAATCCAAAGCAGACACATTAATGTTTACCAATATCCAGCCTCTATCTTCTTTGCTGCAAATTAAGCCTCCCCCTTATCCTTGTTCTTTCCAATAGCCATGAAGAATAATTGATGGCTCTCCTTTCCAGAAACTATTGGAAGATGGCTATCGTGTCTTGCCTAGTTGTTTGGGTTTTTAACTCATCCAGACTAAGCAAAGCCAATTCCTTTATCTTTTGCTTACAGACAAGGCTTTTAAAACTTTTGTGCTTCTTGTTTCTCTGCCCTGGAGTCTATTTAATTTATCCATATCTTGCTTGTCATTCAGTGACCAAAACAGGTCTTGCTATTCTTGCAAAGGCCTCCCAGCTGCTAAGTGAAATACAAGACTGCTTCACAGGTCTTGCGGGGAATGTTCTTACTTACAAACCCTGGAATGATGAGTGCCTTTTGTATAAAAATATCATACTACTGATGTATGCATAGCTTATGATCCTGTTCAGCATTCCAGAAAGCTGGGCAAATTTCCCCATCAGTAGTTGGTTTGCTATTGTTTTCCTAAGTTGGTGTTCTTGCATTTATCCTCACTGAATGTTGTTTGCTCATTTGACTTTCTCTTCAGGGATCCAGATGATTGTTGGTGATTCTGAGCCAGTACCTCTGACTGCCTGTAACCTCTTCCAGCTTGGAGCTTTTGGAAAGCTGTGGAAGTCACACTCTGTTCACTACACAAGCTGCTAGCAGCAGTACTGAGCAGACCCAGGCTAAACAAAGCCCTTCAGGACCTTCATCCAAAGGCCCTTTTAGTCCTTCAGGGAATGGGTAAGAACTCTCCTTGGAGCAAGTTTTACAGTTATACGTGTCCTTATCTTGTGGTAATTTAATTTTGGGTATATTACTCAAGCTGTCCATGACAGTGCAGCATTGGGCAATGCCAAACCTGGTATTATGAGAACACACTAGTATTTTTGTGACTGCCTGACCCCTTTGGAGATGCAGTACAAGATTTGCAACAGCTGGAAGAGAGGAAAAGGCAGAGGAGCTAGGTCTGTGCCTAATTAAATTTAGTCTCAGTAAGCACTGAGGAGACCTATTTCTTGGTGCTCTTGGACTGCTGTAATATGAGCTGACCTTGACAAGCCATACAATATTTATGGGTACGTTTTATCTTGTTTTCTGATCTTCCAGTGGGGAATCTGGTCTCTGGAATGTGTTATGTGGGCACTGGGTTTCAGAGGCATGTCTGCTCTCTGTCAGGACAGGACAGTTTACAAAGGGAAAAGCGATAAAGTATTTTTACACTTGACAACGTGCATCTGTTCTTTTGCTTCAGTGGCCTTTGGGACCAAATTTGTCATATCCTTCTAGATGTCTTGTCCTTGCTCTAAACATGGATGTGGCAGGGATAAAACAGCACCCATTTTATGTGGCACACATTATGTGGACTTTTTATGTGGAGCATGGCACAGGGTACCTCTGCCTTGTGCCATGCTTTGGCCACTGTCAAATTCACCCCTTAATATATCCAGGGGGAAACAAGACAAAAAACTGGCTGCAATTTAAAGATTGGGTAGGCAGGTCAAGTTCCATAATTTCATATGGTCCATGGGAGCTCCTGCACTCCAGGAGCTCATATGAGGCAGTAGCATCCAAGGGATAAGGAAGCGATGCTTGTGCACCTCTTCATTTTCACATTGAGAGACTTACAGGGAGGGCAGGTAGCCCCTAGGATGAGATAAGATTTTCTTTCTGATGTAGCAAGAGAGTAGCAACCAGGAGAGATGTTTTCTCACAAAGCCTTTCAGGTGAGGAGGCAAAAAAGCCAAGCTGGCCAGGATCGTTGGGCTGCTGTTCTGTTGGTAACAGGAGGTGCAAGAAAACTGTTTTGAGTGAAAGGCTAAGGAACTGCTATGAGGAAAGAAGAGAGGAGAGTCTGTAGCCATGGGCAATTACTGAGGAGCAACTGTTTGCTTTATCCGAAGCACACCAGCTGAGACTGTATCTGGGGTCAGCACTGGGGTGGACAGGAGCCCTCTGAAATGACTGGTCCTTCCACTACAGCAAGGAGTTATGCATCATCTGCCAATAATCCTGACAGCTGATCCATGCCGTTGCTGCCACTCCGCAATGTGGGATGAGCCTCTGAGGCAGGAGCAACAGGGATCTAGCAGCCTATGTGTTTTGGGGTGGGAACCAGCACTGTTGTTCATCTTTGTGAGTTTTCTGTTCTGTGGCAGAGCTTGGTAGCACTTGCTCAGTGTCTTTTTCCATCAAAGGGTGCTGCTGTTGAGTGGATGGAGAACCCTTCTTCCTAGCCCAAAGGGTGCAGGCTGGGACAGGCACGTGGCTGATGTGGCTGGGCAGCTGAACAGGAATTGCCCACAACAGCTGTAAAGCTCTCAAGAAGAAAATCATCTCTCTTCTGAGAAAAACAGTTACAATTGCCCTTCAAGGGGCTGGACAATGGGTGGTGGAGCACCCTTGTTCCACAGCCTTGGAGGTGCCTCAGCAGAGCAAGGTATGTGCAAAGACCCCCAGTTTGGGCTCAGGACTGTCAATGTAAGTGGCCTGGCTGAAGTTGGGTGGCTGAGGTTGAGCAAATGGTCCTGTGTAAAGGGAGGTTTCACCCTGTGCCATCACTGGTTGTCCTTGGAGATTGATGGTGCACTGTGATGTGGTGATTCTTCTGGTAGATGCGTGCACCACCAGATGATTTCTCACCCCAAGCTACCCTGCAAAGACCTCCTCTCCTTAACCTTGAAAGGGAAAAAGCAAAGATAACACACCCCCTCCCCTATGGCTTTAGGTACCTGCCGCTCCTCCACACCAGTGATTGCAAAGGAGGGGAAAGCAGCATTCCTCCACAGCGGTTTAATCTACATTGTGTGCAGGAAATCCTGCGTCCCGACCTGAATCACTTCCGAGCCGCGGATTTTGGGGACTCTTTTCCACAGCACAGAGCTTGGCCAGCAGGAGTCCCTGTTGCATGTCGCAGGGAATCACACAGGATTTTAAAGGGTTTGCTCATCTCACACATCGGACGATTTCTGCTCCAGCAGCTCTGTTTTGTGCTGTTTTTCCCACCAAAGATAATTGCATCAGTCATACAATAAATCACAACAATTTTGCATCACCAATGCAAAATGCTGTTTGCCAAGGCTGCTGAAGACAATCTGTGTAGAAATACTGAAACTGGGAAATAAACTTCCAGTTTTCTGGATGGAATCTCTCAAGTCACAGGCTCGTGTGGACCGTTAGTCCCAAAATAGTGAGGCAATAGAAGCTTTGTAAACAACCTCACTTTCCTCCTGGCGTTGTCTGGCTTCTCCTTGAACTGTAGCAATTCAGTTGTGGCACTGGAAAACTCATTTCTCTAAGTTTAGGGATTATAACAGCCTGGTAGTATTGGCACTGAACACATAAGCTGCTGCTTTTTTTCTGTGTGAGCTCTGCTGCAAATAATTTTGGTGAAAATGAGAAGGAAGATCTGCTATTAATCACCTGCAAGGGTATGAACTGTGAGTCATTATTCACTTAATTCTTAAATAACTTCTCTTAAGAAATCATAGCTTTGCAGTTGTAAATGTTACTAAAAATTAGAATTAATTCCCATCCATTTTTTAAACTCCTACAATATTTATTCCACCATTTGCTGCTAAGTAGATGTCTAAGCAGGATGTTGGTGTTAAGAGAATTATTTACATTTGTATTACTTCATTTAAACAAATTGAAGGGGTTGCCTACTTTGACTCTAAAGGTAGTTATTAGTGCTTCTGTGCATATTTGCAGAGCAAAGTAAGTGCCAGGAACCTACATTCTCATTAGGAATATTGAAAATTATGAGCCAGGGTTAAAACTGAAAGAATAGAGAGAACATCTGAGTAATAAACTAATGTTTTGGACTGTGTTTAAAATGCCTATAACTAGAAATATAAAGTAGGAAAAGATACAAGTACTTCACCTATTCTTGTATCCATTAACCAATTATATATATTTCAACTTGTATAGAGTGATTACAATATTTTGTTGTAAGAGAATGAAGTAATAACATGTGCATGCAATGTTTAAAGCTTCTTGAAACATGCAATAGGTTACACAGCTAATACTCACCATAAAGTATGGTTAACATTGACACAGGCATGACAAGGAAACCCAGCAGCATATCAGCTATTGCGAGTGACATTAGAAAATAGTTAGTGGCGTTCTGTAGTTTTTTCTCCAGTGACACAGCCATGATGACAAGAATATTTCCAGCAATGGTTAAAACAATCACCATCACTGTCAGCAAAGCTGGCCAGTTTTTCTGTGAAAGCTGAAACAGGGAGGGGTGGCACGATGGACTCATGTTGCTTTCACAAGAAAGATTGGTTAGGTTTTCAGAGTCCACAGTCAAGTTAAAGAGATGTGATATATTAATCTCTCCGGCTCCATAAACATTTCTGTAGAGTCTTCTCTCATGATTTATTTGTATTAGGGAATTTGTAGTTGGGTTCACAGAGCTCTCCTCATCAGGAAGCATATCCATTGCTAAGTCTGAAACTGGTGAGATAAATAGTGGAAAATGGGAAATTTTCACCCCTTGTCACCATCAGGCTTTATATTCCTCAGTTGTCCATGCCAGAAGTTGAAGGAGCACAACCTTTTGCCACTAGCATGATGTAGAAAAATGTGCCAGAATTACTCCGAAAGCTGAAATGTTTTGTTCTCAGTTCCATAGGAAGTCCATTGTTGGCATACATTGAAAATCCAGCTGAAAAGCAAAACCAAGCTGTAGGACAGAAATTGTGGACTTACTTGAGGCTTCAGAGAGCAAAAATGTTGGAGAAATAAGAAACAAAAACTTTTGCAGCCACTAGGACTCCCCTCTGGAGCTACATCTTATTGCTATTGGTAACTGTAATCACCCAGTTTTAAATACAGCAGTATTAAAATAGCTTGCCATACAAAGCAGCAGAGCTCTCACTTCCCTATTAAGAAAGTTGATTAAAGATTCCATCCAGCATCTTTCTCTTGAAATAATTAGATATGCTCTTATTTATAGTTCATCTTCCATAATATGGTCATAATAAGTCTCTGACTTCTTTTGTATTTCAGTATCATTTTCAGCCTCATATCAGAGATTACACGTTCTGCTCCACTCTGATCTTTATAGCTAATTGTACCTTTTGGCCCTGCCTGGCTTCAGAATGGAAATTAAACAACTAGATACTATGATAAAAAAATACAGTTTAAGGAAGACTTACATTGTACTTCAGAGCCCACTCTCAGACTGCAGTTAGGTGCACTTTGTACCCTGATTTACCATGTTCTTCACTGTGTTTAGCCAGTTTTGTGTCCTTTTTCTTCAGTCTCCTCCAAGATGGTGGTATTTGGAATAGTTTTCTTGACTTCTAAACTGCACACTTGAGTGAAGCCAGTTCCTGTGCTGTGAGGCTTGCTCTTTTCTTCTGAGAGATAGGCTGCTTGCCGACTCCTTCCTTGTGCATTTCCCCGCCCCAGGGCAAGCTATATTTAAAGTAATAATAATATCAGCGCCCTTCTCGAAGTGACACAGAAGCACACACACACACACACAAAAACAGCCTGCACAGAGGAATTACTGATTTCAACAGGAATGGAATTTCTTGCTCACTGCCTTGTTCGGTTTGTCAGACCTCCCACTGTCTGGATGTCATAAACTGCAAGGTAGCAACGGCAGGGGAGGGCAGAGGAAGGCAGACCCGAGAGGGTCTTTCTGGTAAACTAGCAGCTTTTGCAGTGTATATTTCTGGGGTCCTCTGCTTGCATACTTTTTCAGTGCACACTTTCCATTTGCAGAGGGTGGCTCGCAAACATGCAATTACAGTGTTTTGCAGGATGCAGGATTAAAAGAGACAAATTCTAATGCTTGCGATGGTAGATACTAGTGAAAAATGTAAGTGTGAAGTTTTACATGTAGAGGGGGAATTATGCCAGCCTGAAGAGGAAGGAGTAATATTTAATCCCCTTCTGTTTTAACTCCAGGTCTGTGCTGACATGTTAATCAAATTGGCAATGGATATTTATAAAAATTGAAGTCACTCTGATGTCGTGCTCATTTTTCAGGAGGTGAGTGTAACAGTTAACCCTAGCAGCCCGTCCCAAGCAAGTGTCCTAGATGAAGCAGTTCAGTAAAGCAAAGCAGTAAAGGCACCGTTTCTGCCTTTTACATCTGCTGCCAGGACACTGATGAAGAAGTAGCCAACTCTTCAATTTGCCACCTTACACAAAGCCTACTGCCATTTTTTTTGAGACTTATGGTTGTCAGTATGTCAGCTGAGTGATCCCTTGCTCATCCTGAAATATACTGCACGTTTACGTCATGTAGAGGGCAATGGATTTACACAGGCAGGCTCAGGCAGTATGCAGTGAGAGCTCAGAGAGGTGCGAGTGTCACTGAGCACCAGTGGTTCCTGGAGTGTCCACACGAGCTGCAGCATGCACCCATAGCTCAGCTCTATCTGCAGCACCACTAACCCATGGGGATCCCAGGCGAGTGCAAACACAGGAAGAATTATATTAGACATGTTATATTATACTTATATACATATATATACATTTATATACTTATATATATTATACATATATAATAAGAGTTATACATATCAGCTCAGCTGACATGTACCAATCTCTTGAGGGGTCAAAACCTTATAAAAGTGAGTCTTGGAGCACGCACCAAAGAACATCCAGATCATTAAGAAACTATTACAGAAAGTTTTTCACAGTAAGCTCCTTTGGAACCAGTTTTGCTCCCAGCTAAGTGCAGACCAACAGCTGTCACAGCAGAATGGAGCAGCCAGGCTGATGCCCACATAGAATCATAGAATTGTTAGGGTTGGAAAGGACCTTAAGATCATCTAGTTCCAACCCCCTGCCATGGGCAGGGACACCTTACGCTAAATCATATCACCCAAGGCCTTGTCCAACCTGGTCTTGAACACTGCCAGGGATGGAGCATTCACAACCTCCCTGGGCAACCCATTCCAGTGCCTCACCACCCTAACAGGAAATAATTTCCTCCTTATATCCAACCTAAACTTCCCCTGTTTAAGTTTTAACCCATTACCCCTTGTCCTGTCACTACAGTCCCTAATGAAGAGCCCCTCCCCAGCATCCCTATAGCCCCCCTTCAGATACTGGAAGGCTGCTATGAGGTCTCCACGCAGCCTTCTCTTCTCCAGGCTGAACAGCCCCAACTTCCTCAGCCTGTCTTCATACGGGAGGTGCTCCAGTCCCCTGATCATCCTCGTGGCCCTCCTCTGGACTTGTTCCAACAGTTTCATGTCCTTTTTATGTTGAGGACACCAGAACTGCACACAATACTCCAGGTGAGGTCTCACGAGAACAGGGTAGAGGGGCAGGATCACCTCCTTCGACCTGCTGGTCACGCTCCTTTTGATGCAGCCCAGGATACAGTTGGCTTTCTGGGCTGCAAGCGCACACTGAAGCCGGCTCATGTTCATTTTCTCATCAACCAACACCCCCAAGTCCTTCTTTGCAGGGCTGCTCTGAATCTCTTCTCTGCCCAACCTGTAGCTGTGCCTGGGATTGCTCTGACCCAGGTGTAGGACCTTGCACTTGCCATGGTTAAACCTCATGAGGTTGGCATCAGCCCACCTCACAAGCGTGTCAAGGTCCCTCTGGATGGCATTCCTTCCCTCCAGCGTATCAACCGAACCACACAGCTTGGTGTCATCGGCAAACTTGCTGAGGGCACACTCAATCCCACTGCCCATGTCACTGACAAAGATGTTAAACAAGACCAGTCCCAACACCAATCCCTGAGGGACACCACTCATTACTGGTCTCCAGCTGGACATTGAGCCATTGGCCACAACTCTTTGTGTGCGGCCATCCAGCCAGTTTTTTATCCACCGAGTGGTCCATCCATCAGATTGATGTCTCTCCAATTTAGAGACAAGGATGTCATGTGGGACAGTACTGAACACTTTGCACAAGTCCAGGTAGATGACATCAACTGCTCTACCCCTGTCCATCAGTTCCGTAGCCCCATCACAGAAGGCCACCAAATTGGTCAGGCAGGATTTCCCCTTAGTGAAGCCATGCTGGCTGTCACCAAGCACCTTGTTGTTTTTCATGTGCCTTAGCACGCCTTCCAGGAGAATCTGCTCCAAGATTTTGCCAGGCACAGAGGTGAGACTGAGTGGTCTGTAATTCCTCGGGTCATCCGTTTTCCCCTTCTTGAAAATGGGGGCTATATTTCCCTTTTTCCAGTCATCGGGAACTTCACCTGACTGCCATGATTTCTCAAATATGATGGCCAGCGGCTTAGCAACTTCATTCACCAGCTCCTTCAGGACCCACGAATGGATTTCATCAGGACCCATGGACCTGTGCACGTTCAGATTTTTAAGATGGTCTCGAACCAGATCCTGTCCTACAGTGGGCGCAAGGTCTTCATTCTCACAGTCCCTGCGTCTGCCTTCCAAGCCTTGGGTAGTTTGGTCAGAGCCTTTGCCAGTGAAGACCGAGGCAAAGAAGTCATTCAGAACCTCAGCCTTCTCCAAATCCTGTGTAGCCAGTTCTGAGAGCTTCCTGAGGGGGCCTACGTTATCCGTAGTCTGTTTTTTATTTGCTATGTACTTGTAGAATCCCTTCCTGTTATCTTTAATACCTCTAGCCAAGTTTAATTCTAACTGTGCCTTAGCTTTCCTAACCTGGTCCCTAGCTTCCCAGACAACATCCCTGTACTCTTCCCAGGCCACCTGTCCTTGCTTCCACCTTTTATAAGCCTCTTTTTTCCTTTGAATTTTCCTCAGCAGCTCCTTATCCATCCAAGGAGGTCTCCTGGCCCTCCTGCTGCACTTCCTTCTAGTTGGGATGCAACACTCCTGAGCTTGTAGCAGGTGATCCTTGAATATCAACCAACAGCCTTGGGCCCCCCTGCTCTCTAGGGCTGTATGCCATGGAATCTTCCGAAGCAGGTTCCTGAAGAGGCCAAAGTCTGCTCTTTTGAAGTCCAGGGCAGTGAGCTTGCTGCACGCTCTTCTCACTGTCCTGAGGATCTCAAATTCGACCATCTCATGATCGCTGCATCCAAGGCTGCCCTGGAGCGTCACATTTCCAACGAGCCCTTCCCTGTTGGTGAGCACGAGGTCAAGCATGGCACCTCTCCTTGTCAGCTCCTCTATTATTTGCAGAAGGAAGTTGTCTTCCACACAATCAAGGAACCTCCTGGATTGCTTGTGCAGGGCCGTACCGTCCTTCCAACAGATGTCAGGGTGGTTGAAGTCACCCATGAGAACAAGGGCCTGCGAGCGTGAGGCTTTTCCTATCTGTCTATAGAGTGCTTCATCCACAGGTTCTCTTTGATCAGGCGGTCTGTAACAGACCCCCACAGTAATGTCCCCCATAGCTGTTCTCCCTTTAACCCTGACCCACAAACTCTGTTGACTGCTCACCTGTCCCCAGGCAGAGTTCCATACTCTCCAGCCTACCCCTAACACAAAGAGCAACTCCCCATCCCCGCTTGCCAGTCCTGTCTTTTCTAAAGAGCCTGTAACCTTCCATTCCAACACTCCAGTCGTAGGAGCCATCCCACCATGTTTCTGTGATGCCTGTTATATCATACCCCCGTACATGTGCCCCCATCTCTAATTCCTCTTGTTTGTTCCCCATGCTACGGGCATTTGTATAGAGGCATCTGAGCCGAGCTCCAAATGAAGCCGGCTCATTGGCTGGAGCGGCTGGGAAATGAGTCCCAGTCCCATCAGAGAGGCCAGAAGACTATAAGCTGGTAAAAAAAAGGCTGATAGTGCTGAGCTTGGCAAGAAATACTCCAGCCCTGGCAGTCCTGTCCGGAAGCCAGAAGAGGCCTTTTCCCTCTCTCCTTTAATATGACAATCAAATGGGCTACTATATTCACAGAGTCAGCTTTGCATCCGTGCTCCTGAGGGTTCATCAACTGTCCCTGTGAAGATGCAATTGATGTGAGAGTGCAGATGTACTGCAGAAGTTGGGCTCTGCTTCTGTCAAACATGGCTACTGTGCAAAACAAGGCACAAGACTCCTTGGCTAGGTTATAATCCTTTTTTGAGGAATCCAGGTGTCCTGTTATTTACTCAGCTGGCTCCCCTGGGCTCTAACAAGTCTAATGTAGCAGTCATGGGTGGGAGGTACTTTTTTTGCAGGTCGATATCCAAACTGTGGGTCGGAGGTTGTAGCTGCCAGCAAAGCCCAGTTTCACCAAGCAGGGCTGTTTGCACCTTTCTCCCACTCCAAGGATGGCATGGAGGTTTAGGACCTGGTCTTATGCTTTCTTGAATGAATATGCTAAGAAATAGGCTGTGTGTGAAAGGTTTATGAATCCTGATTTCACATCTGCAGCTCCCTATAGACCTGAAGCAGATGTGTAAAGGACCCTCCTGTTCCTTACAGAGTAGCTTCATCTCCCCTTCATTGCAATGGCATGACTTTTCACTCCTTCCTCTGCTCCAATGACTCATTTAAGACTACAGCTCTACTCTGGACATCAGGAGCATAAAACGCAATTGCAAACAGGCTGAATGTTGCCTTGTTTAAAACCTTTGCAGGTACAGTCATAAGCTCTTAAGATAGGTACTGCACCATTTCCTTTGGTCTAGCTGTAGACACATCGCCACAAGGTTTGAGTGCCTTCTGA